ATATATATATATATATATGACCATAAACCGATCCGATTTGAATCCAGACACAAGCCCAGACACGTGGTCAACAAATCTGACCAGGCCGGGTTCGTGCTAGTTCCAAGTCGAGTCGCCGGATAGGGTCACTCGTAGCCATGTCTAGATGGATTCACCCTTCTAATGATCATTACATATTCTCACACAAGATTTTGTGATGGAATAATTAAAATACTAAAAGTGTGCCCACAAAGAACATGCAAATAGAAATCTGGTCGTCATCACGTACAGACACTAGCGTTGCTTACTTTTATGTATGGAGTTTGGACCATCCATTTTTTGTTCTAAATAATTAATTAACCAAAATGATTAGAAAAATCTTTACACGTTGATAAAAAAAGGATTCCAGTTGTAAGTACATGGGGATAAATGATTGGCTTAGCATTATATAATGGAATGCCAGACATTAATTTGGTGTTAATCATTTTGTTGACTTTGTGAGATGCTATGGTCTTGTTACGAAACTATTCCGTCGAGATCCGTAACCGTTAGATTAACTATCTCCGACGATTACATGATGAACTAACAGTTACAAATCCGAACAAAGTAATTGAGTAACGGGACCGTAACAGTTTCTCATTATATTTATATATTAAATAAGGTCGATTTTATTCAACATCCAATGAGTTTGAGTACTAATGAAAGGCTAAGGGGGATTGAAACAAGTCAAAGTTGGTTATTAATGGACAATTTTTTTTTTTTTTTTAGCCGAAATTTAACTTAATGTCTTAATATTTTTTTTTTGGTACAGGGACCTTCTGGTTTCCGGATCCACATGAGAACCGATTAATCTGGAATCGAGCCGGGTAGGACCACAAGGGCGGCAAAACTCTCCTTCAAGAGTTTTTGATCTCACTTTTTAAAGTAGATAAAGGCCAAAAAACGTACGATTAAGAAGCTTCACTTCTATTTTTACAACACATCATTTGTGCTAAAAAGTAAATGGTAGGGTCCCGACAACATGAACATGATGGCCACTCAATGTGAGAAATTGAAATAAATTATAAAAGACTACGACTTATATAGTTATATTAGTTATTATCACAGCTGTTAAGTTGAATGAAATGTATTGTTCCTGAGTTGAACTTGGTAATTTGTTTGATAAATGCACCGAGCTTGAGCTCGTTTTCGAAAATAAGATTTTTATTGTAACTTTTAATAGTTCGACTGGTTAATATTTACAAATGAATTGAGTTTGAGCTTAATTATCAACTCGTTCTACTAACGAGTCGAACTCAATCCGACTCGATAAAAAATAGAGTTCAAATATGAGTATTAGGAGCTCCGAAGTCGAACCTGGCTCGTTTATACTCGTGATAATTACGAAAATTCAAATAAAATGAGTTCTAATATAGTGTTTTATTTTTTATTCTATCTTGATTTTCTTGGTTAGTTTAATTTGCATTTTGTACATCTTATCGTCCCAAAATGTTGGAAAAACCAACTTTTGTCCTACTTTTTCATATTGGCTCATATTTAATGAATTTATTATAATATCTAATAAATTTCTCACTCAATCACAATCTTATATGCTCTTATTAGTCCCCTTTTTTGGATAATCACATTTAGGGATGCAAGCGAGTCGAGCTGAGTCAAGCAGGATTGAATTTTTTTTTATCGAGCCCGAGCTCGTCGAGCTCAATTTATGAGGCTCGAGCTCGATTCGATAAGAAAATAAAATAGCTCGAGCTCGACTCGAAATCAAAATGCTCGAGCTCGACTTGAAATTTTTTAAGTAAAATTACCATTAAGCACTTGTGTTATACTATTTGAATATATAAAGGGTATTTTAGTACTTTAATATACTCGAACCGCTCGGCAATACAAAATATGGGCTCGAGCTCGACTCGAGTTCGGTATCCATCCCTACGGATCAGTGAATCGACTAGAATATATATTTTAAAAAATAATGATGAAATTGGACCAATACCAATATTATTTTGGTTTTTTTTTTTTTTTTAATGAAAACAGAGATTAAAATG